GTAACACTTGTTAGTAAATTTGTATCCACTTTGTAGATTGTGTGTCTTGTACTAGAAGGAGTATTCTGTGAAGGTAGGAATTATGTCTGCCTTGTTCTTTGTTATAGTATAAGCAACACCCTGGGATGCTGAGTCAGCAGGGTCATTCTCTTATGGATCTCACCCTATAGAGTGGTTGCACCTCACAGAATTCAAGAACTGTGCTCATGAAGACTACAAGAAACCTGAGCTTTAGACCTGGTAATTCTCACTCCCCTTGCAACAAAACAAAACATCCCAGCCAAAATGCTTAATACCCATTCCAAGCTCAAAGGCACTATTTAAGTGTCGCAATATTTAGTCCTTTGATTCTCCAGAAAATGATTTCCACTTGCTAGTCCAGGAGCTCGACAATCCCTTCATTGTGTTCCCAAAGTCTCATTCATTGAACTTTAGGAACTTTAGGAAAATAACCAACTCGTCTGTAAATTGGAATTTGCCTGTACACTGGCTTCTGAATTTGTTATGATTTTTTACATTTGATGTGATAATATCATAAATTGCTCCAGTTTAAAGTACAGGCAATTTCAAATATTTCACTTTTATAATTGTTAAGGCTAGCATCAAATATCCCACTTTAAAAGTAAGTGAAGAAGCTAAACTAACTTCTTGTAAAGCACTATTTATAAGCTTTGAATGTTTACAATTTAATGGTCTCAAATGTTTATAGTGCTCTTTCAAAAATTTTTGCCTTAAACCATTTTTTTCCATTTATTGATGATGTGCTTTATTAAAAATTCAATAATTGAATTGCAGCAGCAGAGGCTATAAAATACTATATTACATCTATAGTAAGGGCATAAAGTTATTTAAGTCCTTTTGGATAATACTGCCATGTAGGAAATTATTTTTTTATTATTGTAGTATTTCTAAGTTTTTAAAAAAAATAATGTAGTTATTAGGTCAACTATGACCATGGGAAATTCTGCTTCTAATAAAGGCTTTAAAACCACATTTACTTAATAGGGATAAAGACTTTTACTTACTTCATAACACAGTGTTTAGGACTTGTTCATAGTTTTACTAATAAACTACACATTATGAGAAAATTTTATCATTAGAAAAGTGCCTAAATAACCTTAGATATGAGTGGATTATCTAAATAAACTTAAAGCAATTATGAACTTAAAGCCTTTTTTCATAGAAATTCAGTGCAGATATTTCCTCACTACCACTGTATTGTGTAATATGGCTATTTTCATATGAAATGTTATTAGGCAATCATGCACTTAGTTGTCTTGGGGATAAAAGAAGAAAATCCAAGAAATTGATAGAATGAAATAAATTCTTTGAAATATCAACATACTGGATGTATGAGATGTATTCTATGGAGATTTTTTAAAGAGCAAATAAATAATCCAGCTATTTTTCACAACCTAGGTAAGGGGCAGTTTTGCACCATTAAATATTTTCCACAAATCCACCAAAATGAAAGATAAATCTGTCCCCAAACACTGAGAATTCCAAACTCCTTATTCCATACCCTTCCTCAGACCTTTAGCCATGGCACCTCCAGAGCCATATTACTTTCCTAGAAGAACAAACTGAAAGGAAAGAAAATCTTTGATTTTTTTCCTTTGTCTGTCTCTGTGCTTTTAACAAATGCGTATATTGCTGATTAGTCTTTTATTGCATCTACCAGCCATTTACTCAACAAACATTAAATACCACCTATTTTAAGACAGATTGTGAACACTGAGGATGCACGCTAGCACATGTTCTTTGTCCAAGGGTTTTCGATTTAAGTCCACACAAAGGAAAGAGACATTGTCAGAACCACATGACAAGGGCCCGAGGGACCTGCTGAAAGGACCTCGCAAGGCAAAGCACAGAGTCTCCTCAGTCAAATGTGGACAAATGGAGGGTTCTTGGAGGCTGGCATAGCTTTACTGAGTTTTGAAGAATGAATAGAAATCAAATAGAGGAAAATGGAGACAAAGTTGTGTTATGAATAGGAACTAATATTTGAAATGTCAAGAAGCAAAGCAGTGTGCAGCTTTTGGAGAAGTGTAAGTATTTATGCTGACAGCGATGAAGTTTGGGAAAGCTTCGTAGGTGACAGGTCTAGAGAGAGAACAGCGTGCTTGTATATCCAGCTAAGGAGTCTAAACCTCGTGATAAAGCTATGAAAATCGCCTGAATGTTTTAAGGGGAGGAGTGACACAACCCTAAGCAAATGTTAGACTCCTCTGAAAGCTGTGCAGAAAAAAGACTGAAAACCTCCGTGTAAAGATGAGGAGACCAGTTAAAACAGCTCTGCAATGACTCAGCGGAAATAGCAGCAGCAGCACTAATGTGTGTGGTGCACCCCTTAGGCAGGCTTCTGTGCCTCCTGCTTCGTGTGCACTCGCTCAGTCAGCGCCTCCCCCACCCTACGGGCACGTACATTTTTAACCTTTCTTTAAACGTCAGTCAGTTTAGTCTAAGAAAGGGTGATGTCCAACTTGCCAAGGCCCACATCATTAGTAACAGCCGAGCTGCTGCTGAGCACAGGTCTATGCAGTGGGAATGCATAACCATGCCCTGGGAATTAGTGTCTGATCTTGAGGAAATGATAATGGACATGTGCTGAGAGAAATACTAGGGAAAGACACGGACATATAAGTGTCTTTTCAGTGCTGGGCCTCTAACCCAGGCCTCACACGCTTAGCAAGTACTGTGTCACTGAGTTACCTCCCCAGCCCCATGTTAGGAATTTCAATTAAGCTTAAATTTTGAATTTAAATTTTGTAGTCCTGGGGTGATTAGATATATCAATAAAGTTAGTGAGATAAACTAATCAAAGATCTCTTTACACAAGAGACAGAGGAAATTGCTTATAAAAGAGTTCAACTTAGAAATATAGAAAGTCAAGGTGTCACTTGACTGCAGACCAACAAACATGACATAGTAATGTCTAATTGGATGGGGAACCAGTAAGTATCTATAGTATGAATTTTTCTTTGGCCTAGATCCTCAGAACACATAGAGAAGCAACACACCTCCCTCTTCCTCTTCACAGGTCACATAGGGACCAGGTGCTGCGGCTGGGCCCCAGTACGTAGTGTGGTCTGTGGAACAGTGAAGAAAGCACGGCACAGCCCTCACTGTGATGTGTGTGGAGATGGCAGAAGGTTGTTGGTACTGGAAACTTTTCAAAAGCCAGGTGTGTAGTTTGGGGATATGCAAAAGTGCAAAGTATTGCAGGGTGAATCTGCTGAAATAATTACTAGCAACTATAATCTATCTCCGTACCAGGTGGAAAGTGTAAGAGAGAGGAAAAGAACAATAATTCTCACTTTGGAGGACAATATATCTCATCTCTCAGAAAACTCTCACATTTGTGGTGCATAACAGGTTTAGAAAAGAATGATTCATACATGAACCTGAGATTCTGCATCTTCCCACAGGCTTATGATGCAAGATGCATATCGTGTCTTTTGCACACGTGCAATGCCAGGTAAAACCCAGAGATGAGTACGCATCTCACTGCCCATCCTGACAGCAAGGAGTGATGGGAGTGAAGATTCCTCTCAGAGACGACATGTCATTGCCACTGTGGGAGGTGTAGACGTAACAATAGGGCGTTGATTTTCCTCCCCAGTGGGAGTCTGCTGTATCACTTTCCCTGAAAGTCTACCTCCAGATAAAACGCTGCAGTGAGCCAAGTAAAGAACTTTCACATCCTTATGATGCCAAGTTGGGATTCCTAGCATGGCATTCAGGAAACTTCCAAACAATTGCTGGAACAAGAATGCAGCATAAGTCCAACATTAAGCCTATTCTATTCATTCTAAGGATCGGCCATATCTGGGCTTGTTTGAAAGAGACTATTATTAACTTACCCAAGGGCTTAATCGAATAAATGATCGCAAACATCTTGAAGAAGAAGAATAACAGGAGACTTGGCTTGTACAATGGCCTGTCATGCAATTGCAGTAATGGACAGCAGCAGCAACGCTGGTGGTAATAGAACCATGGTCCTGCTGTCTCCAGTTTCCTGGACACCGGTGTCTTAGTCACTTCCTCATCCATGGGACACAACGCCCACAATTTAAAGGTGGACAGATTTATTTGCGCTCGCATTTACAATCCATGGGTGGCTAATTCCAAGTCAGAGGGGTGGTGGAAGGCCCTGGGCAGAGGAAATCAGCTCAGATCACGGCCGAGAGGTAAAGTGTGAGCTGAAGAGGGAGCTAACCCCTTCCGGGTCACACACCAAGAGCCTGCCTCTCTGGTCACCTGATCAGAAGCACTTCTCATGCCGTCCTGGTATTATCTCTTTCCTTTCTGCAGACTCTTTTAATTACCACATAATCTCAGTGTTGGTAAATTGTCTTGAGAACACCTGGTATTTAGTGTTTGTTGAATAAATGACAGAAAGATGAAGAGAAAGAACAGACAAGTCAGCAAAGTGTGAGTGGTGAGAGCAGAGACAGGAAGTAGGTCAGCTGTGCTATCCCCCATTTCAATCTCCTTCCAAAGCTTTGCCTACGAGCACTTGAGACCATAGTGCCAGGCATCACATTCCTGGTGCATTCTATTTTAAATTTCCACTGCTTTAATGGAAATAACATAAACATTGGAAATAGTAACATCATTTTCACAAGGCAGTAACAGTGGACCCAGGAGACATCTATAATCAGATGTTACTGGCATAAAATACTATTAATGTCAGAGGCATTTGACAATAAAATACAGAGAGGCTAGGTGAACTTAGCAAGATGGCTGCTATGGCTTGACTGCTTGTCCCCTCAAGCTCAGGTTTAAATCTGATTGTCATTCATTGAGGTGACAAGGATCCTGCACCTGGAATATCTTAATTTTTCTATCTTCCACTTCCCTCACCCTCCACCCTGGGCCCTGTCCCATCTGCAGGAGATCCATCCCATTGCTTGCTTCTTTCTATCTATATATTTTGCTTTTTTTCGCACTTTGCCTTAGTCAAATAAAAGATATCAAACAATGTACAACTTTGTATGTCTGTTTTACTTCCCACAACATTTTCTACAAATTCCTCATATTTATCCTTCTTTATAGCCATGTGCTAGTCCACTGTGTATAGTTGCCACATATTCTTTATCCGTTCATGTGCTGATGGACATCCAGGCTGCTTCCAGGATTTAGCTCTTACGATCTGAGCTTGTGTAAACCTTGGTGTGCATGGACCTCTGTAGTATAAGGATAACAAATTACCAAGAGAAGTGGGGGAGGAGATTCAGAGGCAAAGGGAGGGAAAGGGCAGGAAAAGGAAGGGGATTTAAAAAAGAAACAAGCTATATCATGTGCATGTACCTGCTCTTCAAGATGAGTGTAAATGGTCCGAACTGCAAATTTAATTGTCATTAGAATAATTCTGAGAGATGAGGACCACTTTAAGTGGCCGCCAGGCCTTGAGCACTCTGCCCTCATGAATAGATTAACACCATTTCCTAGTGTGGGGTTATTATCTTGGAAGGGGCTCCTTACACGACAAGGCTAGCTCACTTTGTCCCTCTCTCTGTTTTCTTCACCATTCCACCACGTTGATGCCTTTAGTTGTGGCAAAATGCAGAAAAAATACTTCACCAAATGACAGTAACTTGGCATTGGAATTCCCAATCTTCAGAATTGTAAAGCTCTGTTTAGTACAAATCACCCAATGTGTATAGCCTGTTAGAAGTGTAAAACAGGCCAAGACAACTGTGGGGCAGAAGTTTCCAGGTTTCAGGAACACCAATTTGACAAACTGTCTACACAGAATGCATTTTCCCGAGAGCTAAGGAGACCAGAGGACAGCCTGCAACATTTGAGGTGGTTCACAGAAATAACGAAGAAACCCTGGAGAGTATTAGACAGGCCATGTTACAAAGGACGCCCCATGTCACCACGACCCAGGCAACACAAAGCAGAACACCCTCCTCTGGGTGGAGAAGGAAGAGTGAAGCAAACATCACACTTTTCCTTACCTACCGCAGAGACCTGCTCCAGACAGGCCTGAAACCAGGGCTCCCTGTGACTGTCCCCTGTGGACACAGGCTGCGGGTCCTTCCCGCTCGGGGCTGGTCTCAGTGCCGCGGACTCTAGTTAGATCCCTCAGCCCAGGCTCTAGGTTCTTACTACAAGCTTAGCTCCTGGCTGCCCCATGGTCCAGGATCCAGGCTGATCACAGCATCTAGCTGTTCGCATCTCTCATACTTCAGGTGCCCTCTGTAGACTCAGGCCCCATCCCTGCTGGGCACCAAGCCCAGCCCAGTGGGTGCTAGAGCTCCTTCATCTCAGGACCAGGTCTATCCCCAAATACCCAGGCTGACCCCAGACCAGACACACAGACTGAGGCTTGGGGCCACATCACTGCCAGATCAGCCTATGTAGACTCAGGATCCAGGCATTCTCTATGGACCCAACTAGGAGGCCTGCTCAGCTGAGGACTCACCAGATTGCTCTCTTCCTGGTGCTCTAGAGAGGAAGATGGGTAGAGCTTCCCATGATGAAATCAGTGTGTTAAGGCCAGAAGAGGTTTCCACTTCTCTGTACAGGGAAGAAAGGGTGACAAGATTAAGAAAAGCTCATGGCTTATGGGATACCATCAAGCAAGTATGTACATACATTATAGAAAGTCCAGAAAGAGTAGAGAAAGAGGAAAATGTGGAAAGTTTACTTAAAGAAATAATGATTTAAAAATTGCAGAGACTAGAATGTATAAAAGGAACTAAATCCATGAATCCTAAAGAATCTCAAGTAAATACGACAGAAATAAGTCCTCCCCAAAAACGTTATAAGCAAATTCTCAAAATGCTAAAACAAAAGGAGAATTTTGAAAGAAGCAAGAGAGCTGGGGAATATAGCTCAGCGGCACAAGTGCCTGCCAGGCAAGCACAAGGTCCTGAGTTCAATTCCAGGTACAAATAAAAGAAGCAGCAAGGAGAAAATCACTTGTCATATGACAGAGAACCAAAATAAGAGAATCAGCAGATTTCTGAGCAGAAACCTTGCCATCCTAAGGAGAATGGAATGATGCCTTCCAAGTGGTGAAAGAACAGATATTGCCAGCAAGGAGCACTGTTCCTCGCTAGGAAATAAAATGAGAATTTTCTCAGTCAAAATCTGGAGAGTTCATCACCACTAGGTCTGCCCCAGAAAAAGCAATGAGAGGAATTCTTCAATTTTAAATGAAACAGTGCAAGTCAACAACATTAAAGCACACAAAGTACAAAACTCTAGGTAAAAGTAAGAATACTCTAAAATTGCAATGACAGTGAATAAATAACTCTAGCTTAAGTTAAATGACAAAGGTGTTTAAGTGTTTAAATGCTTATTTCTGAGAACTTGACAATGGAATATAATATAACGGATATACATTGTGTGACTAATACAAAAATGTGGAGGGAAAGAGTTAAAGTGTGGAAAAAAGAGACATGTGCAAGAAAATCAGAAATGAAACGAGAGATTACAATGGTATCAGAAACAGAAAGAACTGTAAAAGGCTACTCTGACCAACTGTATACCGAAAATTGTATAGCTACAAGAAGTGGGTAAAGTCCTTGACCTAACCTTCCAGGCCTGAATTTTGAAGAAATGAATAAAAGTAGAAATTAATGAAAAGTAGGAAGTGTTAAACATTGTGCCAAAGAAAAGCCCAGGACCTAATGACTTTGCTGCTGAATTCTACTAAATGTATTTTTCCTTTTTCTTCTGTTTTAAAATTTATTTTAACTGATATATAAAAGCATAAAATTGTACACATTAATAGGGTAGTGCATGAAGCTCCATCTACACATTGCAGAATATTTAAATCAGGTTAAACATGCCGGTCGCCTCCAACGTCTATCATTTCTTTACGGTAAAGACATTCAAAGTCCTTTCCCCTAGCCTTCCAGTGTGCAGTGCATTGCTGTTCCCCGCAGTCAGCCTGCATCGCAGCTGCACAGCAGAGCTTCTCCTTCCTGTTGTTTAGTTCCCATCCCACTACTTCAGGCTCTGATAACCACGATACTCCTTTCAGCTTCTATGCAATGATCACTGAGGTTCCACGTATCCCTGAGCTCACGCAGTCCTTCTCTTTCTCTATATCAGCATAATAACATCTAGTTGCATCCGCATTTTTGTAAGTAACTACACTCCATTCTTTTCAAAAGTTGCCTGACATTCCATTGTGTACGTGCAGTGATTATTCTTTGCCCACTCAGCAGCTGCTGCTCATGTCATTTGCTTCCATTTCTCGGTTACTGCGAAGAGTCCTACAGTGAACACAGACATGCACAGGCCGCGTGAACAGACTAACTCCACTTGCTTTCTCTATACACCCACAAATGGGACTGCGAGGTAATATGGTGGCTCTACTGGTGACTTCTTGAGGACCGCCAGACTATTTTGCACCATGGCTGTACTGATGCAACTTCCTGCCAATGGTGTGCAAGGCTCCCTTTTCCTTCACACCTTGCCATCCTTGTTATCTGAGATTTTGATAACAGCCATGCTTGTTGGATGCCGAGATTCCTCACTGTGTGATGGAGACCACTATGAAGTGGCTTTGTGCAGGATTTAATATTAACCAATTGACTTTCCACGTTTACGTGCGAGTTGTGCAAAGCTTAGGCACCTTGTCTGAAGATGGGCAGTGGACTCAGAGTCAGTAAACCTCTGTGAGTCCCTGGTCCCCGCTGAGGCCTGTATTGGCCTGTGAAGCTGTGGACAGGTAAGGCCACAGCTAAGGGCATCTGGCTCCAACCCCAGTTAACCTAAAGGAGACTGAAGCTGCAGGCATCTCACTCCTACAGTGAAGGCCTCCTGGAGATAACATGGTTCTCCTAAATTAAGATAATGTTTGGAGAATTCCATAATCAGTTTCCCAAGTCCTGCTCAGATTCCCCCTTTTGTTTGTAAACCAAATAAATATGGGCTGCCCAAGGAAGTCTTGGTCTAAACTCAGAGAATATCAAATGCTGTAAGAGAGTTAGACCCTCCTGGAGCCCTGAAATCATTTCAGTTGTCTCATTTATTTAAGCCTTTGCCATCCACTCTCTTGGGAGATTGTGGGCCTGATCAGTCTGCAATAACTAAGGGTTATTTAACCTAATAATTGTGGTTTTGATTTGCACTTCCCTCGTGGTTACAAATGAGCAGTTTTTCATATACTGTGCCTATTGGCAATTTTCACTTCTTCTTTTGGAAATGAATATTTACAATGATTGCATATTTTAAATTTGGTTATTTGCTATTGATATTTTGAATTTTTTATACATCAAGACATCAGCACTTTTTCACATGTATGCTTTGCTAATGTTTTAGCCCAGGCTTTAGGTAATTTGTATACTCATGATGGTCTCCTTTGCTGTGCAAAACTTTATAGTTGGATGTGACTAATTTATCTATATTTGCTTTTGGTTTAATGCACTTTAGGGATCTTGTTAAAAAAATTCTTGACCTTTCCCGCATTCTGATATGTTTTAGTAAAATAACGATAAACAAAACACAAAATTAGTAGAAGGAAAGAAATAATAAAGATAAAGCAGAAATAAATGAAATAGAGAATAGGGATACAATATACAAGATGTATGAAATAAAGAAATGGCTCTTCAAAAAGATTTTAAAAAAAAGTGCTCAGCTAGTGGTAACACTTAGGTAGCCTAAGAAAAAGAAAAGACTCAAAATTTAATCATATATGAAAAGAGAGATATTACAATTGACACCATAGAAATTTAAAGATTTATTATGAACAAAGATTATGAACAACTATTGCCAAAAATGTGATAATGTAGAAGAAATGGACAATATCCTAGACATATACCCCTTATCAAGACTAAATCATGAAGAAATACAAACCTTAACAGAACAATAACCAGGAACAAGATTGAGTTAGTAATAAAAAGCCTCCCACTAAAGAAAAGCCTGGACTAGACAGCTTCAATGCTGAATTATACTAAATAATTAAGAAATAACCAGGTATGGTGGTGCATGCCTGTAATCCCAGCACTTGGGAGTCTGAGGCAGGAAGATCTTTGCAATTTCAAGACCAGCCAGGGCTACAAAGTGAGCTCAAGGCTGGCCTGAACTGCATAACAAGAAAGAAAGAATACTAACACAACTTATGTTATTCCAAAACATAGAAGAGGAAAGAATACTTCAAAACACATTCTATGAGAATAGCTTACCAAAAGCAGATAAGGACACAGAAAACAAAACAAAACAAAAACACAAACCAATATCCTTGATGCACATAGTCCAAAAAAATTCTCAATGAAAAAGTAGCAAGCTCAACCCAACAAACATTAAAAAGATGATTAATATCATCAAGTAAGACTCACTTCCACAGATGCAAGGGCAGCTCAGCGGGTGCCAGTCAATGAGCTTGGTAGACCACCTCACAGAATAAAAGACAATGGTGAGGCAATCATTTCAATACATGCAAAGACATCATGTGAGAAACTTCACCACTCCTTCATGATTAAAAAAACACTAGGTATGGAAAGAATGTATCTGAAGGGCAACTCACAATAAATCCACAGCTAACATACTGAATCACAAAAAGCTAAAATTTTTCTATCTAAAATCTAGAACACAACAAAAATGTTCAATTTCATTTCCATTATTGAACACAGTTCTGAAAGTCCCAGCCAGAGCAGTAAGTTAGGAGAAAGAAATAAAAGGCATCTAAAATGAAAAATAAGTCAAACTGGAAATATTTGTACACAACACAATCATCTGTAGAAAACCCTAAAACCTCAGTAAAAGGAATAAATGAATTTATTGACTTCTCAGGATATAAAATCAACATGCAAAACTCTAATACTGTTATATGACAATAGCAAGTAATCAAAGAAACAGATATTAAAAATAATTCCACTTATAATAGTCACAAAAGTCAAATAGCTAAGGATAAAATTTACCAAAGCTACTCTGCATTAAAAATTAGGAAAAATGGTTCAAATAAATTAAAGAGGACACAAAAAGTTAGAAAAATATCCTATGTTCACGGATTAGAAGAATAAATAATTTTATAATCTCCACACTACTCAAAGCAATTTAGAGATTCAATGTAGTCCCTGTCAAAATACCAATGATATTCTTCTCAGAACTAAAAAACTCTAAAGTTTATACAAAACCACAAACATTGTGAATACCAAAGCCATCTTGTGCAGAAAGAATAAAGCAGTGAACATTCTTCTAGTTGATTTAAAAGCATACTAAAAGTTGTTTTTATTAAAACAGCACATATTTGAAGAAAAACAGAACATAGACCATGGAAAACAGGAGGAAGCCCACTCTCCTACAACCAAGTGATTTCCTATGCAGGTGCTGAGAACATATACTGAAGAAAGGACAGGATTTTCCATAGGTTGTTTGGAAAAATCAAATGCTCTGTACATAGAGGGAAATAAGACCTCTATCTCCCGTCATATAAAGAATTAACTCAAAATGGATTAAATGCATAAGCATGCAAGTCACCTTTCCATTGCAGGGACAAAATTTACTGGAAGAAAATGTAAGCGTTTTTCACTAAGTATTTAAAGAACTCATAATAATCTTTCTCGAAATATTCCAAACAATAAAATTAATGATGAGGCAACACTTTCATATTCATTTGATGAAGCCAGCATTATCATGGTACTAAAGCTAGAAAATCAAATTATGAGAAAAATGTAGTCAGTATTCTAGATTAGCACACATGCAAGAATCCTCAGCAGAATAGAAGTGAATCTAAGGAAATCATGTGATGAAAAGATCATACACCATAATCAAGTAAATTTTATCCCTAGAATGGTACAACACACACAAATCAATATGATACTGCACATTACCAGAATTCATAAAAATTACATGATCATCTCAATAGATGCAGATAATGTCTTTAAGTACTTCACAAAATTAACATGCATTCATAATGAAATTCTGAACAGAATATGTATGAAAGGAATATTGTTCAAGATAGCCTATATATGACAATTTGATAGCCAGTGTCATTTCCAGTGAAGGGAAGGGTAAAATTGTTAAATACGACATTTCTTGAAAAGACTCGCATATGGGGGGGGCTTGATCACCAGAGCAGCAGTGTTCATGGTGGGTCCCAGAGAGGTAACTTGGTCTTGATGGCGAGGTACATGACCATGGATTAGTGCCCACAGACTCATAGCTGAACAGGTTAATTAGGAAGCAGGCTTCAGTTGGAAGAATGAGGTCAGCTTTGAAGGGTACAGCCTGACCCAAGGTATCCAAGGGCCTCCCTCTTTCTCTGGTTCTTCCCCTACTGTCTCCTAGATGCCATGAGTTCCACAGCTTTCTTCCAATGTGCTCTACCTATACAATATTTCTACTTTGAAGCCCATCAAAAATGGACTCTGAAACCATAAACCTTTTCTCAATTGAGTAGTGAATGCAATGGAAAGGTGACTTACACAATCATGGACAAAACAAGGATTCTCACTTTTGCCAATTCTATTCAACATTACTGGAAATCTTACCTCAAGAAATTGGGCAAGAAAAAGAATCAGCATCAAAATTAAAAATTAAGAAGTAAAATTATTTCCATTTGTATGTATGATCTAGTATGATCATAGTATGTAAAATACTATGATCTAGTATGTAAAATACTCTAAAATCTCTACCAAAAATGTTACAATTGTTAAGAGTTCAATAAATTGCATGACACAAAATCAATATACCCAAATCAGTTATGTTTCTAAATATTAAAAACAACCTGAACAAGAAATTAGCAAAATGTCTGTTTTACAATAATGTAAAGTGTGTGTGTGTGTGTGTGTGTGTGTGTGTGTAGATCTAACAAGGAGATGATACAGACATAAAGAGTACAAAATATTAATGAAATAAATTGAAAAGAGACCCAAATGAGAAGATATCCCACATCTACTGATGAAAGAATTAATATTGTAAAATGTCCGCATATTATAAAATGTAGATTCAGTGAGTTATTTTTTAATTTGATTATAAAATCATAGGCAACAAAAATAGACAGACCTGACAACATCAACCTAAATATCTATCTCTGAAAAGAAAGGGAAAAAATAAATCATGTGAAAAGACAACCTGTGTCATAGGACAGAAATATTTGCAATTCTTCATACATGTTTAATGAGGGATTAAAACCCAACATATATAAGGAATTCAAGCGACTCAATAACAAAAAATAAAATTTCAGTAAAGCCCCTCAAAAAAGTTTCTCAAAAATAAGACATACAAAAAATGTGTGAGAAGTGGGGATGGGGATTTAGCTCAGCCGCAAAGCGCCTGCCTGGCAAGCGCAAGGTCCTGAGTTCGGTTCCCGGTACCGGAGAAAAACCAAAAAAAAAAAAAAAAAAAAAATGTGTGAGAAGTATTTCAAAATTTTTCCTCTCCTCTAATAATCAGGGAAGTTCAAATCAAAATGACAGAGAGATATCATCTCACGCCTGAGAGGACGGCCGTTAGTAAAGATGGTGAAAGAGACTATGTGCTGAGGAGGAATTGCGTGCGGGGAAGCCCTAGCTCTCTGCTGGGGGGAATGTGAATTGTTACAACCACTGCCAAAGACAGTGATGACGGTTCTTCAAAATTCAAAATAGAATCGCCGTGCGAACCAGTAGTTCTGTGTCTTGGGGTCCATCCAGAGGCGCAAGGATAGAGAAAATGTCACATACGTACAAGAGAATATTATTTAACCTTCAGGAAAGGAAGGAATACCGTGTGCCCTTACTTACAGGCAGAATCAAGGAGTCCAAATTGGGAACACAAAGTGAAATGTCGGATAAGCCGAGAGAGGGGCTGAGGGCGGTGGAGATACTGGTCGAGGGTAACGTTTCAGTTATGCCGGGTGAACAGGCCTTGGGGTAATAATGAACAGCAGAACACAAAGCAACATTGTGAATGATAAGAATCGTAATGATAGTATCGTGGTAATTATATCGCAGTGTACCCTAACGTACAATGTTCATGGTAAAGATATACACGTTTACTGGTCCGTTATGTTTCAATAAGGCTGGGGAGGAGAAAGAAGCTAACAGATCTCAGAGCAGCGACAAGTTCCTGTAATAAATATGAAGCTCCGACTGGCAGTACGAGTACAAGTTCTGAAAAGGGTGGGGAAGAGAAGAATTTTTAAAGATTACCTAGGTTCAGACTAAAAACAAATTGTCTCACGATTTATTATGTAGCTTTGAAACATATTTTCCTAAGGAAGTAAAATCTGGAAGGCTGACGAGATGTAGGAAATGGCCTGAAATGAGTGCAATATTTGCTTGGACTATGAGCAGACTGAGATGAGAGTCATCCACATAAAACACACAGGAGCAGAAGCAAATGCGCAGGTGAGGAGCTGGGACCTTGCTGGAAAAGGATGGCCTCAGGTTCGAACTCGAGGCCTGTGAACTGTCCCACTGCAAATGCTGGTTTTGTGGTATGAACAGACGCCACATAAGCACATCCAAGGAGAACAAGTGTCCGCCCACTGCAGAGGCAGCCTGTGCTGGGGAAGCCGGGAAGCACAGTCAAGGAGGCGGTGGCCAGGGAGCCCTTTCCCTGAGGTGAGCTGCGATGGCTTGATGAGGAAGTGAGAGCTACCTTTCCATTCTTAAAATCTTCCATAAGAAGACACAAAAGGGACAGGACATGAGAAAGGTCAAAAATGTTTCAGGGAGATTTATCACAAGAGGAATGTGAAGGAACTGAAAAACTAGAGAAATGTTACACGAGGAAAGGGTGCTCACACTGGACAACGTGAGTGAGGGTGGAGGCGAGCGGCTCCAAGCCTACGCCACAGCAGGCACGCGCGAGGTCA